TGAGCAGAAGGTTGCTATCTGTTGAAATGCTGCCAATGTGGAAATGATCCCAGGACAGCTCTGTCTACCTTTTTCCCCACCCCCCAAACAACAATGTGCCCCCCCTTGCTGAGTGCATCTGAGCCCAAACAAGATGTGTGTGTGTGTGTGTGTGTGTGTGTGTGTGTGTGTGTGTGATAGCTGCTGCTACCGTGTTGATAACAGTATTTATTTCAGCAAAAAATAGATTCAGTGTGGTGCTCCTGACACCTAAGAAAAGCTGAGGAAGAATGGGTGGATGGATAGATCAATGGATGTTATGGGTGAATGCATAGATACATGGCTGTATGCATGGATTCATAGATGGAAGGGTGCATGGATGGATGGATGGGTGGGTGGGTGGATGGATGGATGGATGGATGGGTGGGTGGGTGGATGGATGGGTGGATGGATGGATGGGTGGGTGGGTGGGTGGATGGATGGATGGATGGATGGATGGGTGGGTGGATGGATGGGTGGGTGGATGGGTGGATGGGTGGGTGGGTGGGTGGATGGATGGGTGGGTGGGTGGGTGGGTGGGTGGGTGGATGGATGGATGGATGGATGGATGGATGGATGGGTGGATGGGTGGGTGGGTGGGTGGGTGGGTGGATGGATGGATGGATGGATGGATGGGTGTGTGGATGCATGGATTTGTGGATTCATGGGTGGAAGGGTCCATGGATATATGGATGGATGAAGGGGTGGGTGGGTGGGTGGATGGTTGGATGGGTGGGTGGGTGGATGGATGGATGGATGGGTGGGTGGGTGGATGGATGGATGGATGGATGGATGAATGGATGGATGGGTGAGTGGATTGCTTTTTCCTAAGTGCACATCTCCCATTATCCACCTGTGTCTCTGCCTAAAGCTTTATTTCGTCATTCTCCACACCTTTAGCTTGTAGAACTGGCTGCCTAGGAATTAAACTGTTACTTTAGTGCTTTTAGGTGATCAGTAACTATGAGGTGGCCAGAGACATGAGAACCTGATTATACAAAATCTCTTGTCCTGGAAGCCTTCCTGTCCTCCGTTTCATGAGAAACTAACTCATTCTGTCAGTCATGTAGGTTGGACTCTGGCAGTCAAATCAAATGAGGCCCTGGCCTCACTATGAGCCCATTCTGGCCTGGAGCTCATTATAGTCCAGAATGGGCCTCCAGCTCACGGCAGTCCTCCTGCCTCTGACTCCCAAGTACTAAGATTACAAGCATAGACCAGCACTCCCAGTTTCAACTTAACTTTTGTATCCCTTGTCCTGACCACGGCCCCTCCAGTGGCCCTTCCAGGCGCTCTGTCCCAGGATCACTTCCCCAGTTCTTGCCTCACCCTCTGCCCTGTGGTGCCTCAGGAGGTTCTCTCGGTTGGACTTTCTACCCTATGTCTCTTCTCCTCCCAGTACTTAATGTTCTCTGTGGCAATTTTATTATGCTGAATTTCTCGGAATGTCTCTTTCATGCTAAAAACTTTGGAAGCGTCTTCACAGTATCGCAGCTCTTTCTGCCCAGCAGCTGAAGAGGATCAGCTCTACTTGGCTAAACATGTCTTTTCTCAGTACTTCCTTTCTTCTCTGTTAGTATGGAGTGGCTCGCTCTCCCAGCTCCCTCCCCCACCATCCCTGGTTCATAAAGAAGTAAAGATGGAATTGGGGCTGGTTCACTCTTATTACCAGCCCATCCCTATCTGTTTGGACTGGGGTGAACTATATTCCCAGGGATGTCACAATGGAATATCCCCTCGGGTTCTTCTCTGAAACAGAAACGGTAGTGTGGTGGCTAAGAACAAGACTCTAGATTTACCTGCTCGTTTCAAAGACTATGCCCTTGCCCCTGTCACTTACTTTCCTGAGCCTCAGTTTGCTCAACTACAAAATGGGCTAATAGTTGTATACCTGCCATCAAGGTGACTAAATGAGGTAATGCTCACTAGAGCCTGAGATCCACACCTGGAACCTGTGTTCATCGACTTTCTCTCAGTCCAACCCAGAACACCCTGGACAGTCAACTTAGGAGAAACATTTATTTTGGCTCATGGTTTTGGGGGATTCCATCCATAGTTGCACGCTCCCCTGACTTTGGACAAGTTGCAAGGCAGAACATTATCGGAAGAGAGCATGGTGGGGAGAAAGTTGTCCATTTAACAGCAGTTAGGAAATGGGGTGGGGGCTTCAGGGTCCCAGTGTCCCCTTCAAGGGCTCCCCCTCCCACCTACTACTTCTCACGAGGACACATCCCTGACGTCTTCACCATTTCCTAACAGTGCAATCAGCCATACTCCAGGTCTTCAATACCTGGATTAGAGAGGCAATGTCTAAGAGCTCAGTGTTAGATGTCATCATTGCTTGGTCATATATGACATAGGACATTATTGTGCATCATAGTTACTGACTGGCAGGGATACTAACTCTGGAAGTCTACATAACAAATGAGTTATTATCGTAAGCACTTCCTCTAAGACTTGGAGTACTTAAAACCATTACAATGAATAATTTTGTGATATATAAATTTTACAATAAAGAATATGTACTCACACCAAAATACCTGGGCAGTTAAGATGAATAGCTGCGTGTAATAATATTTTAAATTATTTAATTTTTGACATTAAAATATAATTACAGAATTTCTCCCTTCCTTTCCTGCCTCCAAATTCTCTTATCTATCCCCACTTAGTTCTCTTTCAAACTCATGGTCTCTTTTCCATTCATTGTTGTTACATGCATGTGTGTGTGTATTGTGTACATACATACATACATACGTGTATTCCTAAATATTTAATTACAATCTGCTCAGTCTATATAACGTTACTTGTATATGTATTTTCAGGGCTGACCACTTGGTATTGGATAACCAATCGGTGTGCTCTTCCTTGAGGAAGACTATTTCTTCCAATCTCAGCATTCCGTAGTTGCCTCGGAGGCTTGCCCTCCCCCACTCCACATTCACATGGCTATTGATTATCCTTGCTCGGCATCTATTTTGCCAGTCATATTGGTAAACTTGTATGGGTGTGGCTTCCGACATTCCCAGGAGACACAATCTTTTCACCCTGTCTTCTGTGATGATCCCTGGGCCTTGGGTGAGGGAGTTATATTGTAGATCTACCTGTTGGGAATGGGCTCCCCCGCTCATTGTTTTGGTGGGCAGTGGTTCTTTTATTTAAGAACTTTTCCAGTGTGTAATAGATAGGCTTCTGTCAACACACTGCTTGCTGAGCACCCACTGTGTGCAAGCCACTTGCTTAGTGTTCCATATCTGACATCTAGCTATGCTGGTGAGCTTCTGTGTTTGGGCTTCATGCATCATTAATAGTCAAAGGATGATTGGTACCTGAGATGGTAACTGACTGTGACTGTCTGGATAATCTTAGACCAGATTGTTGAAAGCGCACTTAACTTTATTAAACGAAAATAAAAATGGTTTCAAAGTTGATCAAAAAGTACCATGTAGATACAGGGAGATGAATTAGTTGGCAAGGTGCTTGGCCACGTCAGCCCGAACACTTCAGCTGGATCCCTAGTCCCACATCAAAAGCCTGGTCTGGTGCTGTGCATCTGTAATCCCAGCACTGGGGGTAGGATGGGGAGAGGAGGATCCAATAAGGTGTGCTAGCCAGCCAGTCTAGACCAATCGGTGAGTTCCAAGTCCATGAAGAGGCCTGTCTCCAAAGGTAAGGTGGAAAGGCAGAGAGACAGGTCAGCAACTGAGGATGCTTGCTGCTTCCAGAGGACCTGAGTTCAGTTCCCAGTACTCCTATCATGTGACTCATAACCCTCTTTGGGCCTCTCCAGGCATCCACACTCATGTGGTGTACACACACACACACACACACACACACACGCCACATGCAGCACCTTCTGCTTTAGATAATGTCACCACTGAACTCTGAGTCACATCCAGGACAGTGTAAGGTTTCCAGCTATGCTCCCAACTATTACAGTACAGTGTAATATCTGCCACATTTGTGCAGAAGCAGTCTCTGTATGTGAGCGCTGGATACCAGGTTTCTCAGCAGCATGCCCCTCCTTCCAATTGTCCTAATAGATGACCTTGCTCTTCTTTTTTTTTTTAACCTTACATGTCAGTTTTACTTATTGGAAAGACTGCAGTGGGATTTTCAACAATTAATTTTAAAACCTGTGGAAATATTAGCATAGTTGAGCAAGAGCACCGTGAGTAGCACCAAAAACCCAGCACAGAGGGTCGAGAATGTGCTTTATATATCCTTCTGTGTGTGTGACTATCTTCAGAAACAATTGGGGCTTTTCCTTCATACAACTCCCTAATGGAAGAGGCCAAATCCTGTAGGAGAAACTCAGCGTTCCTTCTGCAGTCCCCGAAAGTGCGAGTACAACCCCAAGGCCACCTTTAAATGGCAATAATGCAACTAAAATAGATCATCCAGGGGAAGGAGACATATTATTAAGGGCAGCAGAGCCATTGACACTTGTTAGCTTGTCTCTGAACAAACACTACAGAGCGGCAAAGCTCGGAATGAAGGAAATGGTATCCATTCTCCGGCTAATGAAAATGCTTTGGGCTCTGGGCCAGAAGAGAGATTTGGATCATAGATGGAGCTCTTTTTCCAGGGTCTTAAATTCAAATGACTAGAATTATTTTTAAAGTACCATCCTTCTCAGTCTTTTGGAATAAAAAAAAATGGTTTTCAATTTTAAAAGAAAAAAACTTCATTCAACATAAAGATGGAGTGCACCATTTTTGGCCAATCTCATTCGTGGGCTCAGTAATATAGTATACTCCAGTGTGGATGGGTTATATAGTGGAGGTACCTCCTATAGAGCCTTCCTTGTCCCGCAGTCCACATATGCATACACTCCATGGGCATGCTCATATTCATGCACAGTACATATGCACACACATGTAAGCACACAAAGAGAGATACATTATCTATATAATATGTATGTAAGCATACACAAAAATGCATGCATATATAAGCATGGTATATACCCATACATATATGCAGAGAAACACATAGACACATGTGTACATATACACACATACTGATGTTTTGCGCCTATGAAGCTTCAAAAATATGTACATCTGATATGAATAGAAAGAGATCCATTTCCCCTCTAGACAACATACATATGTTATATAATTTATACACATAGTATAATAAGTTCATATAATAATATATATTACACATACTATTTTATGGATTTCTAAAACACCTGCTTTTCAACCAGTCTAGAACAACTAAGGCATTTTAGAATTGCTAGTTTGTGTGGAATTTTTTTTTCCGGCTCAGAGTAGCATATAAGAAATATCGCCATAGTTCAACACAGTATGTATCCTCCTCATCGCCATTGTATAGAATTGAATTGTCTAGGAACTGAAGTCAGTTGCAAGATTTAAAAATGAAAAGGCAAACCTCGATTTATTGCTTATTTCAAGAGTGTCATATCTAAATGAATAGCCTTTCATTGAGACCCGAGTATTAAGAAGGAGAACATGTAGTTACTACTGTCTGCTCGCCTTTCTAATAACTGGGGTGGCATTGACAGGAAATAGACATTCATTGAGGCACCGTTCAGCTGGGAGAAAGCCCGCTTCTAAATGAGGTATGGTGAAGCTGTGCCCAAATCCTGGATCACCCAGTGCCTTAGGCCTCAGTGGGTGCCAGCCTGGATCCCAGACTCATAGTCCATCACTTGCAGACTTCTTGTCTTGATCCCTGTGTTCCCAGCTCTAAATTCATTTGAGGAGGTCATGTCTGGGAAAAGAGATAAAGAGCTGTGGCTGAGGAGCCCTTTGTTAGCCAAGACTTGTTCCTCCGAGCACCTGGTCATAAGAAGGAAGCCAGACCACAGCAGTCTCCAGATGCTGAATACCAATAGGAATCACAGGAATTCCTAGCACATCCTTTCCACAGCTGCACAGCCACCCCCATGGTTCTGGGAATCCGTGAGGACGCTGCTAGTGAGTGCTCACACTCTCTTGGTACAGCACTCAATACTTCTCAAAATTCTGTGTGTGCCTTCAGCACTTGCCTTCCACCTGTGAGTTCAGATCGTCTCTCTCGTGGACTCTTTAAAGAAATAAGTGTGAGTTTCCAGAGCCAGACAGGCAGATCCTCCTCTGTTGGTCGCATCTACCCATTCCCCGTAAGGAACAGAATAGCTAAGGAAGCCTCTGTGAGTGTCCCGTGCAAACCAAGATGGAAGAGCCCACATCCAGTTTCCCAGCCTTGCTTTCCATGAGGAGCAGCTTTCCACCGTGCAGTTAATCTTCCAGGGCCCCCAGTCATCAGCACTCTTCAGACTTGGTGCTCAAAGGGAGCCTTGGACTCTGGGGAGATGGCTTGGTGAATACAGTGCCTGCTGTACAAACTTGAGGGCCTGAGTTCAAATCCCCAACATCCTTGTAAACATCTGTAGTCCAGCACTGTGGAAGCAGAGGCGGGCAGATCCTGGCACTTGCTGGCCAGTCAGGCTACTCAGATCAACAAACTCCAGATTTAGGAAGAGATCCTGTCTCAAAGAATAAGGGGAAGAGATGTTAAGGATATTTACATATTTGCTTGAAGATATTTTAACCTCTGCCCTCTACATGCTTGTACATGAATGTGAATATGTATCTGCATACATGTGCACGCGCGCACACACACACACACACACGCACAGCTTTAGTCCAAGTAAGAATGACACTTAGACTCTGCAGCCTCTGGAGTTCCATGCTATCTATGACTTCATTGGCTATTTTTTCTGATTTCTTAGAGCATTTGATTGCTATTGCTATTATTGGTTCCATAATTCATTGCTTGGTTCTGGGGTGAATGAGGTTATTCTGTAAGTCCAAATTAAGCCACTAAACAGGCTGGACAGACAAAAGGCCAAAATGTTGGATGCTCCATTGGGGTACTTTTCTATATATTCAGTATATCACTGAGGCAAAAACCTCGTGGAAGCTCTTCATACTTTAGCATCTGCCATCAGACGGGAATATCAATTCCATCTACCAAAGAGAGGATTCCAGGCAGGCTCAATATAAAATGCAAATATAATAGCTTAGCAAGCCGCACTTCACCTGAGTCTATTAGCCTGGGAGCTTAAAGACAGCAGATGTTCTGAGGGGGTTGCTTCTTCCTCCAGCTACTGTGGGTCACAGCTTCAGCCGGCCATGTGTGGGATGAGGGCGATGGGTGAGGGAGACAGAGAGTAGAACCCGGGGATGGAGGTAGGGGAGGATCTGCCTGTTTTCTCTGAAAGACTGCCGTTGGCTCAATATGAGCTATTTCTGACAAAGTTTACCTCTTATGTAAAGAAGAAGGTGAAGGCTCAGCAGTCCCTCTGGTCCTGTCTAACCCAAATCCTGATAGTTTGTCCTAGAACCCATCTCTGCTGACCAGAGCGAGGTCAACCAGTCTGAACCATGGCACTGTCTCAACCTTGATGGTTCTGCAGCCACCTCCAGCACTCGGCTTCCTTTGTATGCCCTCAGGGTGGTAGATTCGTCTCTCAACGGCTCATGCCTCAGACTCTGGACTCTGCTTTGCCATTGTAGCTCGTTACGCTGCCACAGTTTTGTTAATACCACTGCCCTCCTAGGCAGAACTTTTTGCCGGAATGATCTGTCATCCCATGGTACCACCCACTTCTTCCAGCATCTTCTCCAGAATGGTCCCATTTCACTCTACAACTCACAGCTCCAAACTAACGGCCGAGCCTCGGGCACCGTGAAACTGCCCTCTTTCAGCCTTTACTCCACCACATAAGACCTGCTTGTTGGACACTAATCAGCCTCATCCAGCTGGGCTGTTACTGCATAATCCTTCCCAAGATCCGGGGCTTATATCTCCAGGGGCATCTCCCTTTTCCAAAGGAGTTGTCTGGCGAATTGCTGCAGAACATGACAGAAAGAAGTAGTCCCTTTCCAAAGAGCACTCTCAGATCCAGACTTGGCAGTGCTTCCTGTAATCCCAGCACTCTGGAGACAGAAGTAGGGATACCGAGTTTGAAGGGGACTGACTACCTAGACAGACCCTGTGATGAAAAACAGAAGGAAAAGGAAGAGGGATGTGAAAGGAAAACCAGAGGAAAAAGGGAAGGGCGTGCAGGCTGGAGGGGAGCTTTGGATGTCATCTGTTGAACTCCGGAATAGGAAAGGAGACGTGAAGAGAAAGGAGGAGGAGAGCGGAGTGGAGGGAAACAGCTTTAATGGATTTTTGAGCAGCAGCTTGCTACATGAGATGTAAGGAAAGATGTGACTCAAAGAGCCTGTGCTTTACCTCAAAAGGATACCTTGCAAGGCAAATATTTACACTCTTACTTACATTTCAAGGCCCAGACATTTTCCTGAGGTCATCTTTGAGTCCTTGATGCTGAGGGACAGCAGTGGGTGGCTTCTTTTAGCAGCCAATGGAATATGATCATCACCCAAGCTGTGTATCTCATCCCAGCAAACCAGTTTTGTACCTTTGAAAAAGGGGGGGGGGAGACCAAAACCAATATCCATTCACAAATCCAGACAACTTTTAATTTAATGAGTAGTAAAGCTTCTAAGAAAGCCAATTTGGGCCTGAAGAAGTGACTCAGTAGGTCAGAGACCTTGCTATACAAGCATGAGGACCCGAGTTCAGATCTCCAGTATCCACGTAAAAAGCTAGGGGTGGTTGCATGAGCCTGTAACCCCACCACTAGAGTGGCACCGAGACGGAAGGACATGTAGGGCTCGCTAGCCACCAGTGTCCCCAGGAAACACCAAGCACCCCATTCAGTGAAAGACCCTGTCTCAAGGCAGTCAGGCAGAGAGAAACAGAGGACAATCAATGTCCTCCTCTGGGCCCTACACATATGCACCAGACTGGTACACACACCTGCACACCCACATATACATACATGTATACACTACACGTCAGAAACATAACACAAGATTTAAGCAAATTACATAATAAATGTCAAAGTCAGGGCTGTTCTATGAGCCAGGTCTTCATAGTCTATTGGAAAAAATAGAAAAGAAAAAGCTCTCATTTTTGTCGGGTATTCTTGGGTTGTGCAGTCAGCCTCATATTGTAGATCCTGTGTTGGGGAATTTGCACACCCCCTAAAATTCTGCTGTGACTCCAAATGTATGGCATTTGCCTGGTTATTCGCGGGCGTGGAGAAGAGAAGTGACAAGTCCCCAGCCAAGCGAGGTGGCTCCATCTGATTCTGTAAACCAGGCTCTTGCCCTGGGGCTCCATTTCTCACATTGTGCATTTCGGGTTGGTGACATCATTGCTAAGGTGACGTCACTGTTAAGTTGCCCCCAAACATGACACACAAATAATAGCTAGCATGCCCAAGAAAAGAAAACTCCTCACTCCGGCCTGAGCTACCGTGCTGGTGGCTGAATTCACTGTTCATGAAGTAACTGTCGTATTTAATAAGATGTCCTAAGACACACATACTTGATGAAAGTGCGGTGATCCTAAGAGTCTTTGCCTAAGAGTAACCAAGAGCAATTTCTTATCCACTAATTCGGAATCAGCAGTGACTTCATAGATCAAAACAACAGCAAATAATAAGAATCAATGTATTTAGGGGGTCCTAATAATGTCAGGGAGGTGAGGTACCAATGATGCCGTGTCATTTTCTATTCTAGTTATTTAATATTTTTGAAATTCTATACATGATATAGTACGTCTTGATTATATCCACTCCTTTCTGCCCCCACAACTCCCCTTGTGGCCTCCCATCCTCTTCTCAAATCCAAACCCTTTTCTAATATGTGTGTGTGTGTGTGTGTGTGTGTGTGTGTGTGTGTGTGTGTGTATCTCCTGATGGATCCAGTTAATATTGCCCTGTGCACACAGAAGTAATGCTGGCCCCTGGGGCATGAGCAACCAGTAAGGGAGGGCTTGTCCCTGGAGTCACGGAGAGCACCGACTCTTCCTTGGTTAGCAGCCTTAGGCAGCCCAGAGCTCCTCACCTAGGGCTGTGACCTTGTGAACCCTCCACCCAGCCCTGGGACCATTTTCTGCTTCAGGGAAGAAGAGATCTTCCCGACCAACCTCAGTGTTCCTGTTAGCATGGGTGAATCTCCTCCTCACTGTTCTGATTCCCCCACATTTCCCCCACCCTCATACTGAACCCCACCCCCTCCTCTTGCATCTGCTCTGGGAGACAAGCAAAGAAGCAGTCCCTGACCTCAGGCGCTTGTACCCTTGTTGACACAATCAGACTTAAGAGGGCAAAAGGGAAGTAGAAACATAAATAGCAGGGTGAACCAGCTCCCTGAGGCCTGACTCAAGAGAAGCCCTAATGGTCACCTTAAACTGCTAATTTCCACGCTTCCTCCCAGGAACTCTGCAAAGAAAGTTTGGTGTAAGTGGGGCTTTTAATTAACTCCAAAATTCCTACTGCATCAACTAACACCTGTAGAGTCCAAAATAAAAAAATAAAAAACTGATGTAGGTGAGAACGGCACCATAGGAAATCCCTCTTTGTCTACAGGAAATGATGGCCGCCATTCCCTCGGCCTGATTCCACCGGAGACCTTGTAATCCTCCAGCTGAAGAAACAGGAGTTAAAAATAGAAATAATAACATTGTTTTATGAAGCTCCTAGTTTGTGCCCAGGTGCTGGGCACACGGGTAAATGTGAAGACTCCACCTCTATGCAGCTCATGGTCCAATAGGAAAACTTGGCCACCGTAATCACAGGACAAACGCTACAGGCAAGGGTGGTACAGAGGGGACTGTGGTCACACAGAAGCCAGGTGGAGGTTTAGAGGCGGAGCATAAGCTTCTTGATGGACCGGAGACTTGAAGGTGGAGGAATCCGGCAAATTAAGTAAGTAGGGTGTGACCATTCCCTCCTGGAGTGGTAGAGGTTACCATCCTAGTGTAAAGAAGAAGAAACATGACAGAATTAAGGGGCATGGAGTACATGGGAGATGTATAAGAGAGAAGGCAAGGGGGACGTGATGCCTGGATCGTGAGTAACCTTGAAAGCCAAGTAGGAAGAAGCAACCCTCTGAAGGATGCCACAGAGGCCATCAGAACCATCCCCTCTGCACTCCCTGTGGTGGCTCAATTAAAGAGGTACAGAGAATGAATGCATCATGGGCCGGGTACATCTGAGGATGAAGAGAGCAGTCTAGCTCTTGGGGGAAACCACTGAGGAAATAGACCAAGAAAAGAGAAGTGAGAATACAGGCAAAGGCCACCCGGAGAGGAAAGCGGTAGTCAGCTGCCTGGGGTCGCCGTACATTGTGCAGGGCGAGCTGTGTACACCTGAGAACAGAAGGATGCCGGCCTGTTCCGGGGCAGGCAGAGCTAAGAGAGAAAAAAAGGGATGAGGTGCCGAGAAGTGAATCAAGGGATAGAATAATGGCAGATATAGCAGAGGAGGGGGGGTATGGTGGAGGAAGGAGAGGTAGACAGAATCCCAGGACAGTGAGAAGAGAAGCGTGGTGTGATTGACCCTGAGGGGCCGGGAGGCATGTTCATGAGGAAGTACACAGAAGTGAAGAGGTCAGTGACAGGCAGGGGTCTGTACCTGGGCTACAGAATGAGTTCAAGGCCAGCCTGGATGACTTAGCAAGACCTTGTCTCAAAATAAAGTGGAAAGGGGCTGGCTGGATGGCTCCGTGGGTAAGGATGCTTGCCTGCAAACCTGGCCACGTGGGTTCAATCCCTGGAACCCACATAATAGAAGAGAGAACCAACTCTGATAGGCTCTCTTTTGACACTCTCGCATACACCTTCATACACATGTGTGCACACATGGAATATGTTTAAATAAATAAGAAAATATGGAAAGGCCATGGCTCAGGATTGAATGTCTGTTTGCCTAACATATACAAGGTCCTGGGTTCGTTCCCCAGCACTTGGTTCCCCCTCAAACAGCAAATGTAGATCGGCTGATGGTTGCACTTGGCTTTCAAAGGATGTGAGTGCAAATCCTAGAGATTAGAAGGTTGGTGGGCCGCTTGCTGTAGCCACTGTAGTGTAGCCATGGTTGCTTATAGCTAACAGGACACAGAGAACGTGATACAAACAACACAGCCCGCACAATGCGAGCCTCAGAATGAGGAAGGCAGATGAGCTTTTGGTCAGGAGTTCAAAGGAGGGTGTCTTTAACAAAACCTTTCAGAGAGGACTAGATCACGTCAGAGTCAGACCCCGATGCACCACCATGGCTTTCTCGCTAGCGTCCCCTTAGGCAAGTTCTGTCTTTGAGCGTGCCATCTGCACAGTAAGTCACGAAATAGCAAGCCATGTGTGTCGCTGGCTGCAGGGGGAAGCAAGAGATATGTGTGAAGAGAACTTTGAAGACTGGAAAAGCCTCGTATGATCGTGAGGTGTCACCATGTGAGAACAGGGGCCTTCTCGCTGCCATTTGCCCTTTGCCATTTGCCAAAGAGCCTTTTCCTGTGGGAAAAGCACCAGGGAAGCTTCCTTACAGACTTCAGGCAGGCCCTTTCTCTTCTGGAAAGTTTCATCTTAGTTTCTACCCCCCTAACTACTCAAGAGGGATAAGACACATTAAACAGAAAGAAAGAAAGAAAGAAAGAAAGAAAGAAAGAAAGAAAGAAAGAAAAAAGAAAGAGAGAAAAGAACGGAAGGAAGGAAGGAAATGTTGAGGTTAAGGAGATGACTCAGACTTGCCACCCAACTGTGAGGACTTGAGTTCGGATCGCCAGTATCCACATAAAAAACCAATACAAGGCACAAGTCTGTAGCCCTGGTGATTGGGAAGGTAGAGAGAGACAGGTGAATTCCCAGGGCTTGTTAGTCAGTCAGTCTAGCCAATCAGTGAGCTCCGGGTTCAGCGAGAGACCCTGGCTCACAACTAAGGTGAAAGAGTAGGCCGGCATCACCCAACATCAACCTCTGGCCTCCACATGCACGAATATGCACACCCATGCACACACCTGTGGCTGTATGCCCGCATGCATACACACATATACACCACACACAAAAATAATCAAATTAAAAAGAGAAGAAAGTTAAGGTAATCCTAACCATAAATGACTTTTAAAAGTACTAGAGAAGCTAAATATGATGGTTTATGCTTAGAACTCCGACGCTTGGGGGATTGAGGTAAAACGATATCAAACTGAAGGCCAGCCTGGGCTAGATGATAAAATATGTGAGAGAGAGAGAGAGAGAGAGAGAGAGAGAGAGAGAGAGATTTCTTCATTTCTATATATTTAATCTTCCAAGTTATGAAGTCAGGAAAGAAACCTTTGTGAAGGCCACTGCCTCAGATAAACTGGAATCAGCATGGCTGCTTTGAGGTGTTTTTCATTTCCCTCCTCCCTATTGTTTCTACTTAACCTTTTCCTCCTAAGCCAATAGAGCAAGGATTTCCATGATGTTTGCCATGTTGTGCTTAATGTATTTTCAATTACTAAAACATAAAATGACCCTTGCTAGGTCTTTTAGACCAAAACAATGGCCGCAACCTGGGTGGGCCTCTCAGCTCAACACTTGGAAAGCAGAGGCCGGCTGATTTCTGTAAATTCAAGGCCAGCCTGCGCTACAAAGTGAGCTCCAGGCCAATGGGGTCTACATAATAAAACCTTGTCTCAAGACAACAAAACAAAAACAAATGAAATAACTTCAAAGTGGCAGAATATATACCATTAAAAATATGCCAAGTATGAGTTATTTAAGCCACAGGTAGCATTTGGGGTTTTGTTGGTTGGTTGGTCCATTTTTAGGTTATTTTAAAGGTTTCTGTTTTATGTACATGTGTTGTCTGAATATATGAATGTGTGTCATGTGTGTGCCTGGTGGCTCCAGAAGGCAGAGAGGGCCTTAGGATCCCTGGAACTGGAGTTGCAGATGATTGTGGGCCACTGTGTGGGTGCTAGGAACCAAATCAGGATCTTCTGCGAAAAGAGCAAATGTTCTCAACCACAGAGCCTTCCCTCCAGCACCTAGCTTTTTAAACCATGTTCGGGGCTGTGCATGTGTCTCAATGGAAATAGCTTGCCTGAGATGTATGAGGCCCTTGAGTCAATCCTCAGTAGGGTATTTTTAAGTTAAAATTAGTGTATTTTTCTATTTAAATGCACCAATTCTAGCACCTGTTGGAACACTGGAAAATCAGGCAACAGGGGGAAGGGCTTTTATTTTCCCAAATGCCAGATAGGGGTAAGGGCTTTCTCTGCTCTCTAGATCACCTTAGCCAGCCCTTCTCCTGTGTATTGTCTCTTGAAACTGGGTCACTCATCCTTGAGCATTTCAGAATATGTGACCACACTTTAAAAGCAAACCAGCAAAGAACAATGCAACAGAAATTTGTCTCTAAGGATAAAGTGATCAAAATTAAAAATAAAATAAAATAAAATAAGGTTCCAAGTTTGTTGGCATAGACCTGCAAGGGATCCCAAGTTCAAAGTCCTCCTGTGCTACTGTGTGAATTCACGGTGTCCTGAGTAACTTGTTAAGACTTTTTCTCAAATTTAAAAGAAAAGTCAAAAAGAGGGTTTAGGGATATAAGTCAATGATAGAGTTCTTATCTAGTGCATCCAAGGCCCAAGGTTTAGTTTTAGTATCAGAAAAAAAAGGGGGGGGGGGAGAAGAGATAGAAAGAAATCTAGCACCTATTGGAACACTAAAGAAATGAGAAAAGAAAAGGAAGCATTTCACCAACCCAGTACTTTGGGTGACCTGGCCAGCTCTTAACCAGCATTCTGCTTACCTCGGTATTGCAGAGATCAAAATAAAAGCAACTACTGTTTTGCAAAAGACCCAATGCATAGTTTTTAAAAAAGATTTTTTTTACTTCAAAAGTAAAGGCAAGAAATGGGGACATGGCTCAGCAAGAAGGGTTGCCTAACCTACTCAAAGCCCCAGGTTGTGTTCCCAGGGCTTCATAAAACTAATCAGGTTGGAGCACACCTGCAATCCCAGCACTTGGGTGGTGGAGACAGGGAGATCAGAAGTTCAAGGGCATCCTTAACTTCATAGCAAATTTGAGGCTTAGCCTAGGCTATGTGAGACCCTGACTCAAGGAAAAAAAGGAGGAGGGGGAGCGGGTAGAGCCAAGCCTACTGAGGATGTTCATGCCTGGACTCCTGATACTTAGAATCTAAGAGAGAAAGATCAGCATGACTTCCAGGCCAGCCTGGGCTACAAAATGAGACTCTGCAAAAAAAACAGGGTGAGGGGGTGGTCAGGAGCAATTGCTCAAAAGGTTCCAAGATATTCTTCTGACCTTTTAAGGTCGAGAAACCTTGATAACCTGTGCCTGATCCTGAATAGAAGCCATCTGGTAGACCACACCTGTCATTTAGCCTTAGCATGCTAAATCTCACTGAGGTTTATTAACACAGACGTGTTGATCATGGCTGGTCTGTGCCACGTAGCAAAACTATTCCCTAGCAGCACATTCTTTGGCTTTCGTCAATTGGTCCGTTGTCTGTGGAATTTCCTATTCTCCAGCCACTGAGGAGAAAGCAAGCCCCACCCCCCTGGATTTGGCTGTTATGAGGTTTAAAGAGGATCATTTGTTTCCATTACAACCCCTTGAAGCCCCTCTTTCCTTTCTCATTAATGAATTTCCAGTCTTTCATTAAATACAAAAAGAAAAACAAGACAACAACAACAAACAAACAAACAAAAGGATCCGGCCGAGGACACAGTTAAGTGGCTGGCGGGCATGACTGTGCTGGTTTTAGAGAAAGGGGGACGGCCATTTATTGATTGTGAGGAGAGGTTGACGTCCTTGGTTAGTATGCTAATTTTGTCTCTTTCATTTAGCATTCAGATCAGGTCTGTGCAGGCCCTCCCTAGCCACAGAGTCCAGGGATGGGCGGCTGTCTGCCCAGCAGCATAGAACATGCTTTGCATGAATTACATAAATACCCAAGCATCCAGTCTGCCCCAACCTCACACGTTCCCTCCCTCTTCCAGAGACACACAGACCCCAAGCCACATGCATGTAAGCACGCCCTGCACATGACGCTTACACATGTACCCACAAACAGCACAGACACACACAGGTCTCTATGAACACTAACGGCACCCAGAGAGGTACCGTAACCATCCATAGCTGGATTTAGTCCCTATTCTTTGGAGCTCTAATAAATCTGCAGGAATGTTCTTTCTACTGCTCGGGGAAACTTGAGATATATTAAGGAGCCCAAATTAAGAAGCAAGGTAAAAGTTAAAAACCCCCATTTGTAGGAAGTTATCTTAACTACCATATCCAGGATGTTTTGAAAGTCCCATTTCCACTTGTGGGAAAGAGAACTGTATAGCTCAATTAACTGAACACCCAGAGAAAAGAAAATCCAACTGTTTTTATTCCTTGGGGGTCCCCACTCTGTCCATGTGTGTTTAGAACACTGTATAAAAAAGAGTTCACGGTTGGTTTGGGACTCACCAAGCCACAGCTGGGTGACAACAGAAGACTCCCCAAACCAGCTGCCATGTGTCGGTCCAAATGGCAAAGACGATCACCTGGCACGTTTGCCGAAAGCCCCGCCAATGGAAAACTGAATCTCCCCAAACTCCTCTTCCCAGTATCCTTTTGTGATGGTGGAGGCAGCTCCTGGAGACAAGCAGGAGGAGGAGCAACTCCTAGCAGAAGGCACACATTGGAGTCCCTTTAAATAGGTGGAGCGATTCTGAGCCAGCAGAAAGGCTCCAATGCAAAGGAATGAATATGTTGGCTTTCACTGTTTGGGTCTGGTGTGGATTTGGTTTGGGATTTTTTTTGTTTTGTTTTTTGTTTTCTCAGCATGAGGCATAGCTGTGTAAACTGGCATGCCATGACTCTTTTCTGATCTTGTCTTCTCGTGCCCACAACAATATTCCCAGACTCAGCTGAGGAACTCCAGCGGTTCCCATGTTCCCATCGGAGCTTCCCAAGCCATGGGTGTTTTCCCCGAACTGCAGACTTGATTTGCCTTGATTATTATTTTTTTGGCTCTGATCCAAGATGTCTTCCTGTCATCATCTCACCGTCTTTCCAGTAATCCCTTTTTTAAACATCGCCAACAATTAGTCGATTTATCTCCATCACCGAGGACCACCACCCACCCCCACCAACATCCACATGCAGACATCCCCTCGGCTGAGCCCCCATCCCTGTCTTGTTTTGCCTTGAAGTATAAGAAATCACAGCTTCTCATTAGCTGGAGAGCACGTTTGGAACGGCTTTGTGTTTACTCACTTAGTAAGTGATGCTGGCCTTTTTAATTATCCTCCTTCCGCATGCCATTTAGAGCAGCAAGCTGTTCAAATCAAACCGAACGGGTGCGCACATCCTCGGCGAGGCGGTTGGAAAGGAATCCTGGCTTTTTTTTTTTTTAACCTCACTGCTGGCTGCATCCTTCCTTGTCTGTCAGCAAGCCAAGGAATCCCCCCCACCAAAAGCTCTTACGTAGGAAGACACCAAAACCGTGAGTCACTTTTCGCTCCCAGAGCAGAAGAACCCCCCAGCATTTTGCACCTAGCAACACACCCAAGATGATGGGGCTTTCCTCCAAACCATTGAGATCCCTAGGACCAGATGTCCAGTCCTCATACCATTCTCTCTTGCAGTTGCTCCCTCTTTCTCTTCCACCCTTCTCCATCCTTGCATCCGGGAGCGGTCCTCCTCTTCTTCCTTCCTGAGATGTGACAGCCGCAGACCACAGCCAGAGCTGAGTCCCTCTCACCTTCTGTTATTTCTCCCCCTGCAGCAGCCTTTAGCGGCTACCCTCTGCAAGCTGGATCACCAAAGACACACGACTCGCTCACAATGAATAATCAATACGGATATTGATCTAGGGAAAAATGTTTGTAAATTCCTGAAAGGGAATCAGGAGCAGGGGGCAGGGAGGTTCGTGGGGGACGACGCTGCAGAGCTCAACGGCGCTAGGAAGCAGGACCGCTTTTGGATCCCCAAGTTTGGCCAGCTCCGAGGTGACGGGTACCGGAATGCGTGCCGATGAGGGTGTGCGCGTGAGAGGACGGTGCTGTGTAGTCTCATTTCTCTACAGCTGCTTTCCCTGAAGAATCAGGAGCCACATGGTCGGGAGCCCCCGTCAACGCCATGTCTTGGCTGCGGGCCAGCCCTGTTTTGTTTTCATTATCACACGCTACTTTGCAATTTGCATAAATACAGGGTTATTTTTTATCGTGTCGCCCAAAAGATAGAGCCAGGGAAAAAATAGACTCTTTGTTGTGTGCAAGAGGGGCTTGCTGCCTACTCATCGAGGCTAAGGATTTGCCTCTCGGCCAAGGCTTTGGGGCACGTAGCGAGGGCTCCAGAAGAAATGCAGGCAAAGGAGAGATAATAACACGGGAAGAGGGGGTAAGAAAGGGGGGGCGATGTAGGATTTAATGAGAACCTCAGGAAACTCAGCTTGGTAAAAACCAAATGTTAAAGATCTGCTTTCCTCTGCAGAGAATGTTGAAGGTTTAGGCAAATAAGGCAGAGGTAGCGTCCAGTCTCTCCTTAGACACCTTGTATTCCTTCTGCTGGAAGGAACCACTGGGGGAGGGGTAGTACAGTAAACATACGTGTACATATGTGTGCTTTATCTTGACTCCCATGCAAAACATAGAAAGACCAAGGATAGACCATGAGTTCCCTCTCAGCTCTGATGGTTTTCCCCAAAGCGAGAGGCTCCAAACCAGGTCTTGTTTCCTGACCTTCCCTACAGACCAAGCCCTTCTGCTCTACAAATTGCTCCTCTTCAGTAAAATGTGTCTTCTCCCCCTCCTCTCATCTTCAGCAAAATTGGCACCTGAGCATGAAGGCTCACTAGCAAGCCAAGGTGACTCTGTCCTGTATGTACCTCTTGGCCATGGAGACATGGCTCCCACTCCCAAAGCCACATCCCAAAGCGGTGTTGGGCACTCACGTGTTACTGGTAGTAGAACTTCAATTCAGAGAAACATCCAAGGAGATAAGGCTCTGAGCATGTCTACAGAGGATAATCTACATTAGGTTAATTGGAATAGGAAAGCCCACCTTAACCGTGTGTGGCTCCGTTCATTTTGCCGACTCTCAGCAAGTAGCTGGTGACCACCTTCCCCCAGTGGTCTCTGCTCCTTCCTTCCTTCTCTCCTCACTCTGAATTTGCAGTTTGATAATGAAAAAAGAAAAAAAAAATCTTTGTGATCAGTCTGCCCTTTCTCCCATGGCCCTGTCTCCACCTGGGCTGGTGACAAAGAGGATGTGTCACTTGAGATAGCCTAGCTGTCAGGAGTAAGACCCCTACATGAGGATTCAATTCCAGCACCCCTTGTTCTGAAAGGAGCTGTCCACTTTATCAGCCACCAGCAGCACCTCAGCTGCACGAGTAGCAAACACAGCTTTTTCTAATTCCCTTTCTGGCTTCTGATTAGCTCTGGCAATCCAATTAGCAGAGGCATTTATATCACACAGGCTGAGGTTCCCCTACACATCATGGCAGCTCGAACCCACTCATAAATCCCAACGATACTACATCTTCCTGTGACATGGATTAATTACAACCCCAGACCCTCCTAAGTAGGTCTACCAGTACCATAAGAATATTCGAATTAAAGAAGGGGCCAACAGGAATGTCTTTTGTCTGCCAGGGAAGTGACCATGGTCCTCCATCTCTGCACCAGGTCATTGCTCAAGCAGATGTTGAAGAGGCCAAGTAGGCCTGGATAGTGCACTGTGGGGGATCCCGGAGTCCTCTATAATGGTGCACCCATCTGTTTGCTTGTCTGTTCATATCATGGGGTCCTTTATTGCGAAAGTTCAGAGCTCTTCCTAACTCATTTCCTACTTGGCTCTATACACCACCCAAACAGTTAAACTGGTTTAAAACCCTTCACAAAGAGCGATGTCTTTACCTTCATTGGTATTCCGCTGCAGTCGGTTACAGTCACAATATTGTGGTAACTTTGCATCTTTCTACAATTTCATTCCACATTCACCCTTGCATCCATCAAGCCCTAGCGTCTTTCCGTCTATTCATCTAGCTATATTCATTTAGATATCAACTATTTATTCCGCTTCCCAGTCATCTATTCATCCATGGGCATCTCACTATCCATTTTCTAACCATGTATTGATCTATGAATTTCTTTCTATTATCTGTCATCTACTTGTCTATCCATTTGTGTCTCTCTTAATCCATTCATCTGCATTATCCATCTATCTGTTTTTCTATCTATTCATTAATCTATTCATATGTCTATCCATTCAATCATCTATCGTTGGCGTATTGGTGACCAATCCCTTCTTATTCTATGCCTTTTGTTAGCTATGGTCTTAACAGGATCCCAGATTCACATCCCCAATCACTTTTAAGGTAAAACACGGCCATTTTCCAAATGAAGTCTATACATGCTCCATGCTCCGCTGTCCACTCTTGAGTTTTAAAGAAAGAACTAAAAATAAATCAGTAGAATCACATGGCTTTAAGTGAGTTAGGATTACAAAGAAAATATTTCATCCTAGATTCCTGGAGCAGTTTCCTTGCTTAACAAAATGGGCATTTCTGCTCCCCTTCCACCATGCCTTTAGGAGAAGTGGATTTTAGACAAAGTTTACAACATAAATCTCATTCACTTGGTTACAGTTACCACTGTACATCCTTCATGCAAATGATCCAATTCAACCAGAAATAACTTGGGATTACTTTTATCATAAAGCAAAACAGGTATTAACCTTAACATGATAGTGGTATAGTTGTATGCATTTAGATTTCTTCCTTATCTAGAGAAGATTCAAGACCATGTGTGTTTGTGTGTGTGCACACACGCGTGTCTTGTGGCATGTGCTCATGCATGAATGTATATAATGTATGTGTCTGTTCATGTGTGTTCCTGGGGCAAACTGAGGACCAAAAAAATGGATTTTTTTCTTAGTACTTGTATTCAAAATGTATTTAAGTCTAGGCTGAAATTTAGACTTGAGTACTTTCTCAGAACCCTAGTTTTAGCTTCAAAGAAAATAGGTTCATGGGAAGGAGAATGAATAAGAGTCCCTTTCACTTAAGACAGAAACTCCAAGTTATTGCTCTGAATGGTGAAGGCTGAACAGTGTGACTGTGACTTCTTGGAGTTTGCAGAACATTGTTTCTCAAGTAGTAGCCCAAGTCAGAATCCTAACTAAGAAGCAGATCTCAACTCTGCCAATATTCACTGTCAATAATAATATTATGGTAGTATATAGACTACATTCCCAAGTAAGAATTCACTTGGATTTTTGTTTCTGTTTTTTTTTTCTTTTTTCCCCTTGTTTTTATTGCGTTATTTTAAAAAATATTTCTTTTTTTTTTTTTTGACTAAAACAAAATATGCTTCTGGGCCTGGGTAGTCACCAGCACTCCCCTGTCTTCACCCCAGAGTGAGCTCACCAGCATTGCCCAGAGTGATGTGTTGGCCCACCCCAACATCCACCCCATCTGTGCCCTGCTGGAGCATGGAGCAGGGGTAGGGGAATGCCCAGGGCTGCAGGATCACCACAACACAGGGCAGCAATAGGATACCCGGGGAGAATCCCAGTGAGGGTCCAGCATCAATGGTGCAGTAGAGACCAGGGGGTCTAGAATCAGATAATGATTTTTTTCGATAAACGCCTGCATGTAAAAATGCATGGATCCAGGGGCTTCCTGTGGGACTCACTGCATCACACTGCAGCTTCCATTAAGAGATTTCCCCTTTCTTTCTTTTTTATATTTTTCCTCTTAAGTTTTATTTTGTTTGGTGGAGGCAGGTGGGATTGGGAAGCATGGTATAAAAGGTGCAAAGAATAAATAAAAAAAATTTAAAAAAGGAAGCATGATATTGAAGGGTTTCACATCCATGGATTCAGCCAAGTGCTGTACAAAATCATCTTCTAAACTGGTCCTGCTGAGAAGATGCAGACTCTGTTGTCATTCCCTAAGCAAAGTGCCCTTATCTGAATAGCATTGACATTGTACCCACCATTGTAAGCCATCTAGAGATGGTTTAAAATACCTAGGAAAATATTGTTGAATTGGGTGTTACAA